TTGATGATAGACACCCAGCGTATTTTTTTGGCAATCTCTGCTCCCTCTACTCCCTCTACAATGTTCCCACTCCCAACCTTGGACCACGTTATTCCGGTATTCTTTGCATTGGACTCGAGAGTTTTGAAGTTGCTGTTATCGTCATCTTCTTCAAACACCTGGCACAATTATCGCACAATTCCTTGACCTGTCCTCAAGGTGAAATCCGTCTCTCTCTTTTGCTCTTTGTTGAAGGTACATATGGATGCAACTTGTTGCATGGCATTGCGAATGGCGTCGAAGGCTTTGCGCCCCAAAAGCACAGACAGAATTTTCGAAATGAGCATGACCTACGGTCTTGGATGATCACTGCATGGCGTGTTTGGGGGTTTCTTTTTTCGATGTTTTAATGTTTTCCAATGGGGGAGTTTTGGACTGGCTCTCCATGGTCTTTTTCCCCTGGATTGAGCCAATCATTTCATATCCCCTTCGCTTTAGTTTGCTTTGTATGCTGCGAGCATACTAGGATCCTTTCATATGGAGGCATCCGTAATCAAGGGCAGTTTGTTTTTCTTTCATGTATCTTATGGAGTGGCGTCGACTGTTTCCCTTATGGAATCATTCAGTTGGGAGCATGTTATTTGACATTCTTTTGCTTTTTTCTGGTTAGAACGTAGTATGAATTATTATTTCTTAAATACTACATATATCTGCCATTGAATACCGAGACATCCCTGAGAAGGCTGGAGGTGCCTTGGCGGGTCTCGAGGGCGCCCTGGGGGTACCAGTGGACCCACCGGCTATACCTCAAAGCCTAGCCCCGAAGTCGAATTTGACGCTCTTATATTGGCTTGATCACCAGCTTGGATGGACTTGAGGATGTGACTATTCCAATAGTTTCGGTTTCATTTGGACATGTTTAGGAACTATATGTGCTGAACAATGAGACATAATCGCTAGGAAATCGGCTGCACCGATAGCCTTTGAGCTTGCCCTGTCGCTCCTTGGCGGGGAATAAAGGCATACATAAACCAAGAAAAAAAATATCCTTCCATTCAATCTTACATTATAATGCATAAGTGAGAAGATAGTTGTATTGATCACCCATAGGGGTGATTGACATTGGGCAAGGCCAGTAGGCCAAGCCAGAAAGCAAAGAAAAAAAAAAGAAACTGGCTATTCATACATTCCGTTGCAAGATTCATCCTGCCCGGGCTTGAAAATACAAATAAAAGAACGCGATCATCAACACCATGCACGTCGGGATATGAGGGAAACAAAAGAAATGGTGATTGCACTGACGCAGAACCGAGATCAACCTCAGCGAGCACACACCCCAGAGAAGAGAAGGTTAGAGACAAACAGGAGGCGCGAAGCAGAAAAGAGGTAGGAAAGAGGGCGGGGGAGTGAGGATGAAGCAAGAAGGAAGTCAGCACGAGTCAGCTAAGTGCTCCCCTCAACAGTCGGCGCGTCGGCCGCCTTCGCCAGCTGTTCCTGTTGATGTTGAAACTGCTGCTGCTGCTGTTGCAGCTTCTCAAGGCTGGTCGTTAGGTGGGCGGGGGGTACGGAGCCGACCATTGCGCTGAACAACTTGATCTCCGCGTCAATGAGGTCATCAAAGATGGCCTCCTTCTCGCGCCATGCGCGCTCCCGCTGGGGGCGGATTGTCTCCCACTCGGCTTGTAGCTGTGTGGCCTCCTTGCCGGCCCAGGCAATCTGTCGACGGAGGAGACGGTAGAGGTCGCGCGGGGGTAGACGGAGCTCGGAATCGTCAAAGTCGAGCTCTGGGCCAAACTCCGGCATCGAGGTCTCGTCGGGGTCGTGAGCCTCGGTTGCGGTTGTGACGGGGGTTGGTACGATGGTGATTGCTTCGGTGTGTGGCTCGGACTCTGTGCCTGGCTCCCGGGGCTGGGTCAGCTTCAAGCGGATGCGTTGCAGCTTCGAGGCTGGGGTGCCGGTAGTGCTGCCTGGGGCGCCGTGGACTTTTGAGATGGAGTCGATAGGGCGCATGGTGTCGGTCTCATGGACAGAGCGCATGTGCTTGGTAAGGGCGTCGGAGCGGGTGAAGTTGCGATCACATTCTGTAGGTTTCATTGTTAGTATTCGAGATCTCCAACCCCCGTTTAGAGGACTCGAGTCTCGGTCTGAAACACGTACCTGGCAGAGTGCAGTAGAATGGCTTCTCGCGGGTGTGACTTCTCATATGTGCGCGGAGGGCGTAAGCACTAGCGTGCGTTTGACCTTTGCGGGTACAATCGGTCCACTCGCAGGAGTAACGTTTCTGTCGGCTCCCGATGTGTTCATTGTGAAGGTGCTGCACCAGCCCATCCATGTTGCCGAGGTCGCCGGCGGTGCATCCGTCCCATCGGCAAATGGTGACTTGGTCAGTGCTCTGTCCACTGTAGTCTTCTTCTTGATTGGTACCAAGGAGAGTAAGGATGCTGGGGGAGTTGGGGATCTCGCCAGAGCTGTCGGAGGAGATGGAGGCAGTTGGGGATGGAGGTGGGTGGTTTTCATCTTGGGCAGAGGAAAGTGGAGTCTGTCGGTCCCAGGACGCAACGCCAGTGCGACGCCGCTTGGAGGGGGGCATGTTAGGCATCGATGGCGAATGCGCGCGGCTCTCGTGCTTCATGGATTCATGGTCTGAAGTTTCGAGGGATCCCACCGATGATAGCGGAGAACCAGGAGAGTCTCGTGAAGCCATTGTGAATGGTACAGCTCGTATACAAAAAGAAGAGGTAACAAACGATTGACCTGTTTATTATACTGCGCCGAGACGTCGCCGAGACGTCGCGCGAGGGAGGCCATTGATATCACATCATGTGATCAATTAGGGACGGACCGATTCACGTGACCGATAGCTGACTATAACCAACAGGCACCATCCATTCTCCCTTTCTTCCTCCATTATTCTCCTGAATAGGTATTGACCATATTATTATTGATCATGATTGCCTCTTTCTTATTTACCTACAACAATTCTATGTTAGTTCACTTACGAATGCACTGACCTCCTATGTATTAGTGCACCACACTAACCCCAACGGTGAGCTCGCCTTTACCCTCTATACACACTACCCTACATAATAAACTCTACGCAACATCGAATATTTTCTATTACATGATGATCATCTGATGAATTTGCAATCCTGACGATCACCAATCAAAGCGAGATTGGATGTTGACTCTCTACACTTGATCTGACCTATACAACCACCCACACGCATTACAAACAACTCCCATTTGCTATGGTTTATATCTAATAAATACAAATTTATTTTGCAGGAAACATCCTAGTATCGAGCCCCTGAAACCTTGTGTTCCTCCAAAATAGCATCGATCTCCGCCATCTCCGAATCCGTCAGCGTCTGAGCACCGCCCATATTCTGAACCACCTTATCCTTCGTAGTACCTCCAGGAATGGGGATAATAGTAGGCATGTCGGGCTTCTCACTCTGGGTCCGGATCCATGCCAGTGCAATCTGAGCAGGGGCAACACCTTTGCGGGTAGCAAGGTCCTTGACCTCGTTGATGAGCTTCAGGTTGTGTTGGAAGTGCTCTTCCTGGAACCGGGTCATATGGTGCCGAATATCGCCTTGGGGAATGTCGGCCAGCGAGGTCACAGCTCCGGTCAGAACACCTCGGCCTAGTGGCGAGTAAGCAATGACGGGGATGTTGAGCTCCGCGCAGGTTTTGGCAATGTCGTTATGGAGGATATCGGTGGACCATAATGACATTTCAACCTCGACGGCAGCAATAGGGTGCACCTTGTGTCTGGAGAAACAGTTAGAGTTGGGTTTGTTCATAGGAAGACCATATAAAATCAGAACGAAAGCACATACGCTCGGCGGATCGTCTCAGCATCAACCTCGCTCAATCCAATTCCCCCAATCTTGCCCTCCTTGACATACTGTGCGAGAACCTTGATAGTTTCCTCAACAGGGACTTTGGGGTCTTGTCGTGCGCATTCGAAAATATCAAGCTTCTTCTTGCCATCAAGTAGACGGAGAGATTCGTCCACGCTACGACGGATATTCTCTTCGGAGCAATCTGGGACAAGCTCACCCACCTTCAAGCCACCCTTGACACTGAGAACGACCTTGTCGGCGTTCTCAGGGTACTTGGTAAAGTACTTGTTGAGCAGGTGCAGGGAGTTGTACTCTACAGTACCATACAGCTCGCCAGCATTCCAGAAGTTGGCACCCAGTTCTATGGCGGTATTAAGTGTCTCAAAGCACACCTTTTCTGACGGAGGCTGCGCGTTCCAGGTCATTCCTGATTTTGTTAGTAAAATGTCCAATTGTGGTGTTTGTGGGGAGTCGCACTCATCGTGCCATAGCCAATAGGGCCAACTTCCTGTCCGAGTAGAGAGGGCATAATTAATATAGAAGATGAGCGTGAAAACTTGTGAGAGATGAGATAGTTGACAAGATGTCGAAGCTGGTGGGCTGTGATGGACCTTTTATCGGTTTCGAGATAGTGCCCCGCCGTCGGGTCGGATTTGTCGCAGTTAAGGATATATCCTCACGCGAGCCTTATGTGATCGCTTTATTCAGGATATAACGTTCATGCTAATGACATCGAACTTCTCGTCCAGGCTCTAGGTCTAGCCTGCGGAATTGTATTCCTGATATCTGCGGTGATTGGAAAGCGAGCACGGAGTTAACGGGGTTTAGCGCTTAGCTTCGCGGGCCAATAGCAAGTTGCTCGTATTGTTTATCGGGGTTAATATAAGCTGATATTTCTATTACAGCCACAAAGTATCTAGAAAGTTGGCTGCCATACCAGGAACACATATATGAGCGTTGAAAGCATACTATATTGTCACGATGAGCACGACACTACCTTCTCGAATTACAACTGTGGACTAGGAAACTCTTTGCCATAGATCTAAATAAAACAGCATCCAACATAGTAGTATATAGTGTAGAATCAGAAATAATCATATTCTTTTAAATTCACATTTTCCCGAATCAACAATCCTTCATTTCCTTCTCTCTTTCTAGCACTCCACATCCTCATCACACGAAGTTCTCCAATCCAATCTCATCAGAGCTGTCAATCATATCCTTCAATCGATGCTCCAGAAACTTGTATATAGACTGAAAGAACTTAGTGAAATCTTCAATCTTCTTACCCTTGTTCCCAATCTGAGCGCTCTCGACCGGTTGATTGTCGCTGTCTTCATGTTCCACAGTTTGAGTGTAGCTTGCACCATTGCTGCCGTAAGTGGGTGTATGGCTAATGGAGCTCGAGTAGATAATGTGCGTGGTTTGTGTTGGCGCCATGTTCTCTAGGTCCTGAATGGGTTTGATGCTGGCAGTGGGCGTGGCGATTGGCGTTGAGGTTAAGGTTGAGGTTGGGGCTGGCTCTTCCAGACCGAACCCTTGCAAGATAGTACGGACGTATTCCTCGGTGTCTGGAATAAGTCTCTGTGCTTTTGTTAGAAGTTTGTTCTTTGGATGAAGTGCCATGTCTGAGTGACTAACCGGTGATCGAACTCCAAGTCCTTTTTCCATTTCCTCGGTCTGGCGGATTGGATGCGCGTTGACGGTAGACACTGCCAGCAGTGCTACTAACAGGATTGAGAGCCATGATGCCTTTGAAATAACTTGCGACATATCGTATGAGCTTTTGCGTATGTTGTGATGAACTGTTTGCAAAATGGGTTACTTCCCCTGGTGATGAGGAGCAAATGAATCCCAAGCGTCACAAATATTATAAGATTTACTGCCAGAGAGGCTGATCTGCAACCCATAGATGATTCATATATTCTGGGTATTCCCGAGATTATCGAAATGCCAGCCTCTTATGGTTCGGAATGAGGTTTTATAGTACCCGAATGCCGGTGGTTATACCCCTAGTGTATGTATCTTCCTCTATTTTCTTATAGAAAATTCGAACTTTGCTCTCTTCAGCTCGAATACTATAAAAGACCTGCTTCTCTAACTTGAAATTGGCTTGATACCATAGCAAAACGGTGATTTTCCTTGAGCAAAGGGTTCCTTGGTGGATCTAGGGGCCCATGGCGATCCCCAATATTGATAGAAGACATTCCAGAGACGAACTCTCCTGCGAATCAAACGCGCCCTTGTTGGATCATAATGATTCTGCCAAGAAGAAAAGACTTGATGGGGCTACAATCTAAAACGATTGGAATGAGACGGCGATACGGCATCAATGCTTGCATGCCGTCTCTATGCAACTCCTACCAATCGGCTTCTTTTTTACCATCTTCCATATGTACTAGTCATCAAAAATGAAAATTGCATTGCGATTGGAGGCGGCTACAGACTTCTTCAATGTTCAAATCGTTGAAGGAACTGTTCCTCATAAAAAAAACCCCCCATCGACCCTAGCTTTTGATGTGCTTCATTCAAAAAACACCCTACACACCATCGTTGAATTTATAAAAGGTCATCCATCTCTGCAAATAAACTATAAGCCAACGTCTCTGATTGCTCATGATTGAAATGCCTCTTCAATGGTACTTACCTTATCATAAGGCTTAGACGAGTCGCAGAACCGTAGATCTGTCGCAAGACGGATCACATTGTCCGGATCGTTGTTAACAGTGGAAGCGTGGATCTTGCACAAAGGATCAGTACAATTGTGCTTTCCGTGTGAAGAATGAGCAGCTTACCATATGCGGCTTGTGTAAAACCACATCACCAGCCTCATACGCCGACACTAGCCATCGTCGACCATGCTCGCGAGCGAACTCAGCTGGGCGCTCAGACAGCAGACCCGTGGACATCATATTCGAGTTGAAAGCCGACTTGGCCTCCTCATCGGTCAACCCAGCCTGCTTCGCTTTGGCATAGAAAGCTGATTCCATTTCAACTCCAATGCCGTCGCCTGTTGAAACCCAGTCAGTACACAAAATTTTCTCCAAGATACAACCAACAAGGGCCAAAACAAACCATCTTCCAAGTAAATCAATCCACCACCATTGAGCTTGATATCCCCCATAGGAACCCAAGCAGTGACACTAGTCGGATCCCCATACCGCAAGAAGATCTGATCGTAGTGCACGCCAATCGGCTTCGATCCAGGGATATTATTCCTAAGAATTGTGCGACGCAAGCTAACTGTATCCTTTCCCCAATCCGAGAACCGCGCAATGAAATCATACAGCGCTGGATGGTTACAGAATTGCTCTGCATACCAGTCCTGGTAGTGTGCATCGAGAGCAAGATCAACAAAAGCCGCTGCCCGTTCACCACCCGGCTTGCCGTTCCCTTCAGCGTGGGCTGCGCCAATGCCGGGGTAGTCTAGATGGTTTTTGGCGGGGTCGAAGATACCTTCGACGGGCGCTGTGCCGGGCTTCAGGACTCCTGTTGATCTCAAGGAGGAGAAGTATGCATCCCGGGCAGCGAGTACGTCCTGGCGGGGGAGGACTTGTTTGAGGAATAAGTAGCCATCTTTTTCGTAGCGGTTGCGGAGTTCCTCGAGGGGAAGAGTTGGGTCTGAGGGGCGGAGGAGGGTGGCATTCTCTGATGTCAAGGGGCCGTCGTTCACGGTGAGGTTGTCTGCTTGGATGCCAACCATGGTGGATGTAGTGGTCGAGTTCGATTCAAATGGGATTGTTTAGAATGAAGTTCTGGTGGTTGAGACAGGTTGGACGATGCCATTTTATATCCTTCGCACGTTGGTCTGTGATCATAGAGGGGTATAGTATGAGCATCAAGTCGAGAAACATCCAACCAGAAACAGAATAAATCGACGCTGACTCTGAAGCCCAAGAGCTGGATCTATGACAGTAAAGAGTAATATTCCCCGTGATTGGGAGTTCATTTCCCTTTTGGTAAAATGTGGAGATGTCGATCACGGGGAATCTTCCTCTTTTTCTTTCCACAAATATAAGGACCTATGCTACGGGGTCTGATTCCTAAAAGAAATGTAGAAAATGCAAAAAAAACGCTCCTACAGAAAGCGAAACCCCAACAACATGATCATACGTCAACCAATGACATTTGTTCCTATCCTCACAAATCACATCTCCATTTTGAAAAAAAAAAAAAAAACAAAAGAGCAAAAGAGCAACATAGTCCCATACAGGCAAGCCTGCGGGCTATTCAATTCCGGGGGAAGTGCCCTTCCAGGGCCACGAGCCTGGGGAAATGGAAGAAGGGTTATTCGTCTTCTTCCCGTCTCCGTTTCTTACTAACAAGAGCCACGCCAGGGCGAGATATCGTGATCATGCATGAAGATCTCGTGGTGAGGCTGAGTTACCATATCCGTTACTATGCACGATACATCACATTCCATCAATTATATACATTTCTTACTCATACTGCGGATCCATCATTCAGCAACAGGCTTCACATGGGTGTAATACCAAATCAATATACCAACAATAGACTGAGAATACCAGAGGTTCGATGGAACACAAGCTGCTGACAATACACATACACGGTTGTAAGAACAGGTTAGTTCATGGGCAGATAAATTGGCTGTAACAAAGCTTTCTATATGAATTGCTATATATGAAGATATACAGGCCCATAATGTCTTTCCGTTCTAGACTCCAGTCAAATGCATCAACGATCTAATCATTGCTAATCTTTCAACGGTAACTGCTCTTTATACCTTATCTTCCTTCCAATCACTCAGTTTCCATGACTGTACTCCATCCTCAACATCCAACCTCAGCGTAGTGAACCGAATCTGCTCATACATGACTGTAGCAGCCGCTCTTGCCTGAGCATGCCAAGGTCCACGACCACCAAGTCTTGCATCGTTTCGATTGCGCCAAACACCTATTTAATAGATCAGCAGCTGATCAGAATGACCGAAATAGAATAATCCAATACTCACAAGTCGCCAGATTCTGATGCTTATCATTTTTCGCCCCAAACCAATACTTCAACAACCCCCCACTGGCAATCGCCTCCTGGTGCGAATGCGCATCAAGGTCATAAAGCCGATCCGAGTCGATATCCGGCAACAAGGTTGACCGGAAAACAACCACATAATACGACTGTGATGCCCACGTGTGGTTCTCGGCCTGTGAGAAAGTTTTCAACAAATCAAATACTTCGGTCCAATTGAAGGATTCCGTATATTCGGCGGTGGCATAGTCGTCGCGGATAGGTTTGAGATATGCCAATGCCAATGCGAAGAGTCGGTCTTGTCTTTCCAGTTCGGAAATGTCCAGTAGATGAGGGACGCTGTTGTAGGGGGATGCAACGAGTCGCGTGTCTATTTCTGTATCTGGGTATTGTTTCTCGAGCTGCAATTCCAGTTGCAATGATGCCGCAGCTTCGAATCTCAAGGGATCGAATTCTGTGGTGACATGGCTATGGTGCAAGAGGCGAGTTGTGCTTGGGACCTTTTGGTCTTTGCCCTTGTTTGGGAGGGTTTTGGTGACTTGGACTGCATTGCTGAGGACCGGGTTGGATATAGTGAATGTCATTTTTAAGGCTCCAGGGTCTCTATAGGTTTGACTTTTGACTCGAAAGATTTCCAGAGTAAGAAATTGAAAGTGCAAAAATTCAAGTCGGGGAAAATTCGGATGAGGCAAATCTGAGTTTTATAACCAAATTTATAAGATATCAAGATCTAAAAGAAAAAGACCGTTTATATAGACTATCTTGACCGCTACCACGGCGCAGGATTTTGTACCACATTCCACAGTGATTGTGTGCTTCGCGAGAGAGAGCAGAAGCACGCAATGGCGAATTTGATTAAAGTTCTGCCCGTTACTATTTAGGCATTAGGTCTGGGTAGATGATGTCCTGTCTGTTAGGCTCTATTGTCTCACGGGATTGAATCCTAGATCCTGAAACATTCTGCCCTAAACCGTTTACCCCGAAGTTCTATAAATTCTGGGGGCAATTCCCCCGAGATGGTGCAATGCTTGGCATCCCCAGTCTGGAATCCCCGGTCTTTTTTTCCTTTCTACTTTTTCTTTTAAATAATACACAAGTTTCTTTATTTAAAATATGATTTTGAGTCTGTCAGATCTTAATATACAATCGGTTTGGTATCACGTAAATCATAGAAGTTCAGGCCTGTTCCCCTTGAAACGCCGTCAAATGCTGGGACCCGATAAAAGCAAGTGGAAAAAAAAAAAATCTCAACGCTTGGGTGGAGGGCCCATCTTGCCCTCACCCGTATCAGCCTTTCTCTTGAGTGGGATAGCAGGCACCTTGAAACCGCCACTCTCACCGCTCGGGGGGTTGACGGGATTCTGGTTAGGAGCTTGAGTGAAAGTTCCAGACTTAAACCATCGATTTTCTTCAGCGTCGCGCTTGCGCTTCAGTTCCGCTTGCACCTTTGGATCGACCAGCTCCAGGCCTTGGACGGGTGTGAATGCGATAGTACTGGAGGTACCAGCGGCGCCAGGGAGGGATGATCCGACACCAGATGCACGAAGACCTCGTGCCTGAAGAACGGATGCAGTGCCACTTGCACCACCCTGGCCAAAGCCACGCAACGACGAGGCAGTGCCACTGGCGGGGGTGTTGGTGCCCCAGCCCTTGTTGTTCTTGCTGAGTCGAGCACGGGTGCGCTGGTCGATCTGGGTTGCGCGGATGCGACCATCGTCCTGTTGTCCCAACATACCCAAGCCAACGGTTCCAGAGCCCGTTCCGTAGCCCACCTCCGACTCCTCCTTGCCGAATGCAAGACGATTCTGAGCCTTTCGTAGTTCCGTCATAGCGACAGCTTCCTTGGCCTTTCGGGCCCGCCAACCACCTCGCTTTCGGGAGGGTTTATCATCGGGCGCAGGGAGGGCCTTCGTACCGGCGTTTGGCGCCGAATTCTCAGTCAGTTTCTCCAGTCGCGTGAAGCATTGTTGCTTCAGTTCTTCGCCCAGAGAGCCGTCCTTGGCGTAATTGGAGACATCTGCGCGGGCAGCGAGTACCATCTTGGCGGCAACAATTCGAATTCCTTGTTTCATAAGATCCTCGGGGACATCTTCGAGAAGTGGCGAGTCGTAGAGGAAACCCTTCGCTCGAACACCGTGATTAGTCGCCAAGCCCAGTCCTTCTGATCTCCGTGATCCTTGTGCACCCAGATTGCAGGCGGGGATCTTAGCGAGTTCAAGCAAGCCACCTGTTTGGTTGAGGAACTGTGCAGCCGTTTCGGCCCCGATGAGTGCTGCCAGGTTAGGGGCAATCTGGTTCATGCGAGACTGGATACTGGCGGTAAGAGCAATGCGCTCCTGATCAAGCTTCAAAATCCTCTCGCAGGTATCGAGAACCAGCTTCAGCTCGGACTCGGTCATCTCTCGGCCTTTGGTAATAGTTGCTTCCATCGCAACCGCCATGAGAGACGGTCCGTTCAAGACCGACTTGAGCGGGACGCCAACCATGTTCTCCGATGATGTGGACAAGGTCTTAATGTCATTGAAAGGGCCATTTTTAATGATAGCGACTGTCTTGGCGTATTGGATGGGAGTGGTGACGAGTCTTTCGAGCTCGGGGAATCGAACGGAGTAATGGTCGCGGAGGACTTTGTGTAGGCGTGTCAGCTCATCAGCTGTAGAGATAGACCGGTCGAATTCGTTGGAGACCCCGGCGCCTTCTCTGGACTCTTCCTGTTGCTCAGGCTCTTCGTCAACTTCCTCGCCTTCACCCACATCGAAGTCCTCGTCATCCTCAAAGTCGCGTAGAAGCTCTTCAGCGGTCGACATTTTGGTTCAGAAATGTGTGTGACGGGTGCGCTCCCGTAAATTGAAATACTTGTGATCGTGGTCCCAGGACGCCACTGGGTAAACTGGAAAGAAGAGCAATGGTATTCCCAAAGTCTAGGTTGGGAAGAAAAGTTGTGCTTAGTCAGAAGGAAGCCAGGTGCACGGGTGGCGATAAATACCAATCACGCAGTTTGGCGATTTCATCGAGGATTCTCTGAGCTACGGGTCCAAGCTACTCTCGGCGTCACTGGATTGGGCGTGAGAAACTTTCCTGCCAATTTCCGAGTTAAGCTATCGCCGCGGTTTGGTGAAGCCCGCATCAACCTCCAAGCCCCTCGACTTGCCCAACCGTCATTGCTTGCCCGACAATTTCGACGTCCCCGAACCTCACCTTACATCATTTTGAGTCGCGATTAGCTCTTTACCGGGATCAATCAATACAGTACCATCACAATGGAGGCCTCCCGTGGACCTCCTCGGGTCAAGAACAAGGCCGCCGCGCCGGTTCAGATCTCTGCAGAGCAACTGCTCCGCGAGGCCGTTGACCGACAAGAGCCTGGCCTTGAGGCGCCGACCCAGCGCTTTGCCGATCTTGAAGAACTACACGAGTACCAAGGACGGAAAAGAAAGGACTTCGAAGACTATGTGCGCCGCAACCGCATTAACATGAACAATTGGATGCGCTATGCCGCCTGGGAACTCGAACAAAAGGAATTCCGTCGAGCGCGATCCATTTTCGAGCGTGCGCTCGATGTTGATCCGACCTCGGTGGTACTTTGGATTCGCTACATCGAAGCTGAGATGAAGACCCGTAATATCAACCACGCCCGAAACCTACTCGACCGCGCCGTGACTATCCTTCCCCGCATCGACAAGCTCTGGTATAAGTATGTCTACATGGAGGAAACACTGGGCAACATCCCCGGTACCCGCCAAGTGTTTGAGCGATGGATGTCATGGGAACCGGAAGAGGGTGCATGGGGTGCATACATCAAAATGGAAAAGAGATATAACGAATTCGAAAGAGCACGCGCCATTTTCCAGCGGTTTACTGTCGTCCACCCCGAACCCCGAAACTGGATCAAATGGGCCCGCTTCGAGGAGGAGTATGGCACAAGTGACTTGGTTCGCGAGGTCTATGGTGTGGCTATCGAAACGTTAGGGGAAGACTTCATGGACGAGAAGATCTTCTCCGCATATGCCAAATTTGAGGCCAAGTTGAAGGAATATGAGCGCGCACGAGCAATTTACAAATATGCCCTAGACCGACTTCCGCGGTCCAAGGCTATGGCCCTTCACAAGGCCTACACGACCTTCGAAAAGCAGTTCGGTGATCGTGAAGGTGTGGAGAATGTGATTTTGTCCAAGCGCAGAGTGCAGTATGAAGAGCAGATCAAGGAGAACCCTCGAAACTATGATATCTGGTTCGACTTTGCAAAATTGGAGGAAACTTCGGGTGACCCAGAGCGGGTGCGGGACATCTACGAACGGGCCATTGCACAGATCCCTCCATCACAAGAGAAAAGACATTGGCGCCGCTACATATATCTCTGGATCTTTTACGCCGTTTGGGAAGAAATGGAAGCGAAGGAGATGGAACGCGCTGGGCAGATCTATCAGGAGTGCCTGAAGATGATTCCCCACAAGAAGTTCACATTTGCCAAAGTCTGGCTCATGAAGGCACAATTTGAGATCCGTCAAATGCAGCTACAAGCAGCACGGAAGACCTTGGGTCAGGCGATTGGAATGTGTCCGAAGGACAAGCTTTTCCGTGGCTATATCGACATTGAACACCGGTTGTTCGAGTTCGGGCGGTGCCGTACTTTGTTCCAGAAGCAAATTGAATGTAACCCCTCCAACAGCCAGGCATGGCTGCAGTTCGCGGAGCTGGAGCGTAATCTGGACGATGCGGAACGAGCGAGGGCCATTTTCGAGCTTGGCATCGAACAACCGACACTTGATATGCCCGAGCTTGTGTGGAAGGCTTATATCGACTTTGAAGAAGATGAAGGCGAGTATGAGCGAGTTCGACAATTGTACGAACGTCTCCTTCAGAAGACCGACCACGTCAAGGTATGGATCAACTACGCCCGTTTCGAGGCCTCGGTGCTGGGCGAGGAAGAGGAAGAGGAGGAGGAGGAGAAAGCGATCGGCGAAGACGCAGCCCGCCGCGCACGTGCAGTCTTTTCTCGGGGACACAAGGTGCTCAAAGACAAGGAGCTCAAGGAAGATGTAAGTTTTTATTTCTGTAATCCTCACACTATTCGGTCTATTCTAACTTATGTACAGCGTGTGGAACTTCTCAATATCTGGCGACAATTCGAACACTCAACTGGATCGCCCGAGGATATCGAAAATATCGAAAAACAGATGCCCCGACAAGTCAAGAAGCGCCGCAAGATGGCCGACGACCAGTACGAGGAGTACACGGACTATGTGTTCCCTGCGGACGATCAATCTGCTGCCAATCTTTCTCGTCTACTCCAAAAGGCACACCAGTGGAAGCAGGCCCAATCCTAGAGCGTGTGATAGCTTTTATTTTACAAAATCAATTGATTCCCATATTTTCCATGCTTTCGGACCTTGGTTCTTGCCGTTATAGAAAACATCCCTGCAAAACCCGTCATGGGAACGGACTTGATGTGTTACAATATTCAGACTAAAATCCTACGTCAGATATCTACGTGTGAGAATGAAACCGGACCACATACTCTCATTCGATCGAATCGGTGTCGCCGGCTAAGCGGCACGAACCGATATGTAGTGTCCTGGAAATGGGACTATCCCCTGCATCCAAGCAAGTATGCGGTATGGATGTCGTGCATGCTGGGCACCAGTTAGTTGCCATTACATATTCCCCTGGCCCCGTTGTACAACAGCTGCATCTCCGCCGATAATCCTCCGGCGCGGGGGCTGACTCTGTGGTACATGCCTATATTCTGTAGTGGTACCTACGTCGATTGAATTAGAGAACGGGCGAATATTTCGCAGAAGCCGAGGAAGATGTTGGCCATACATCTACTTCTATGTATTTCTACTGGAACAGCCCACAAAGTAGATCATGAGATACACCTAGTTGTGTACACAACTCCTGAATATGTCATCAATTATCCCTAATATCTTCAAAACACTGAGAACTGAGACATTTCAAAAGTCTCAGAAACATATCCACAGCCCCACGTTCCATGGCCCTCCCCCCTCACTCCCGAGGTCCTTCCTTTCACTGTATTGATATTCCCTTTTGAAGCATGTCGCTGAACACTTTATAGAGCATGTGATATGTTTTAATTCGATGAATGAACCATGGCCTTCTGTAGAGAGAATCAATTAGACTCTTGCAAGAAACGCCACTTTGAGACCCCTCGAGTCTTTGTTTCGTCTTTGTCGATCAAGTCATTCATGGCGATCCCGGATTCAGGGAATCACTATATTGGGAATTTATTTATATATCCTTGAGCCAGACTACAACTAGCGGGGACATTTATATATGGAATGATTCGCGTGTGCAATAGACAAGAGCGGAATATTCGGTGCAAGATATAGATGAAACGACGAATGTAGAAATCTCTGGTAGCTGAAGTATAACTTGACACAATGTAGATCTAGAAATTATTATGAAACAGGAAAACAACAGAGATCCGAGATCGTCTAGGTGACTTTTGGAGGATTCATTGATCGTCAATGATTGGGGATCTATACAAAGCGAACCGGGGTGTGCGGGGGTACGCTTCAGAATTTCCCGAATAGGGCATTAGTCCACATAAGCACCGTGTAAAAATAGGACCAAGCGATGGTATAAAGATGGGTATTTTGGTGATCTTTGACACTCGATGGTGGCAACATAATAGTAATGTCCATTGAAGATCATGGCCGTCTAATAAAGGGAACTTGGAATAGCTTCTTTTGAGGATAGTCATTGTAGCTAGTTGAACATCTATAGATGCGTTAACTCCCAAGTTTAATGGGCCATCAACAGCGAGAGTTGAAACGCGACACATACACATATATCCTCCACCTTCAGGTGACGAGCTCATCTTTCAACAAATGAGCTTTACAGATATATTTATCTCAGCCATTGAGACTACTATCCTGCTCCGGTCAGCATCGCTTGTATACCTCGGTACCTTCCAGTGCTACTAAGAACAGTAAGTGCTTGCTCTTATCGACGTCAATTGCTAGATCCTAACTAACATATTTTTTTTTTCAATAGTGGGGGGGGGGGGGGCCATATTGTCGATCAGCCCGTGGATGATATCTGTGAAATCTGCAAGAATTATTTCCATGGCACAAACCAAACATGCTCGTGCGGTAACCGTTGATTGGAGTTGGGATACAACAGGGGGCGGAATGACCGTAGAGGTCCAAGATCAGGGTGCCGGAGACATCCGTGTTATATGAGGATGAGTTAGTATAACATTGACGTTTGAAAATTAGTACGGAGTAGGTTGTACTGTGAAGGGACATTCGTGAGAACCCCCCGGGTCCACAAATTAGGCTCGTATTTTAATAACCTTGGAACATCTGAGTCGAACTTTGGAAGTCTCTAGAATAAGGAATTCAATATCCATGGATGTGTATAGTTAATATAACAAAGGTTAACGTGACGGCGTATAACGGTGCAATTTAAAGGAAGAACCTTGGAAGCGGCACTCCAAAACGCCAAAGTTTGGGAATTCCCGTGGGTACGGACAAGAACCACGGGTCTAGAGAGGGGGAATCCTTGGGAGTTGCCTTTGCTTATTTATTATCAATTTATTATCAATTTATTATCAATTTATTATCTAAATTATTTTTTTATGTGATCCATCCTATGCAGAGCATATACAACATAAGCACATAGCGATGCATAACGATAGACTCTGTATACATGCAAGTATTAGAATGGACAAATATGTAAAATGCAAGTCAAACGGGGTCTAGGTACAATGTGGTCCCACTTCGGGACCTCTCACGGGAAAGCCCCTGATCAATATAGAGAGAATAGATGAAGGCTGAAAAGAACCAATGAGAATGTACATAGTCACGAGTAATGGTATTCTAATCCAATCAAAGTGAAATAACTCAAATTAACGGAGAAAAAAAAGTGTGAAAAAAGCCCGTGGACGAATTGAAAATGACGAAATTTATTCCCCTTAAGGGATGGTGCCGTTCGCTAACCCCCCTATGCCTGCTAACCTCCGTTAGGGGGTTGAGAGGCCCTTCTTCCTGTCTCAGCTGGTTTATGTTTCTGTCCTTTTCGCTCTCTGGATTTACCGTGCTGTGCACTTTGATATTCTAGTTCATTCATTTCGCCAATCCCTCATTCGCTTACTCGGGGTTCGCTGGCCCTTTTATCGTACGTTTCGACTGGATCGCCCCAGCCTCACGCTTTTGTGATTACTCCGACATCCTCTTTAATCCGACGCGTGTTGTGAACTCATTGTTGACACCCCTGACCACTCTGATTGTGTCCCGAGTCGCCGAGTTATCAGATACGCGACCCACTTCAGCTTCGCCCCGAGAGCTTGAAATTGCGGTTGACCGCGCGGAAAGCACTCGAGAACCCGTGTTCACGTTGCCAATTATCGCGTCAAGTCACCCAGATCGAGTGTGGTTTGTTGGCATTTTTTTTTTCGCTCACCTGCCTCGGTCGAGATGAGATAGTGCTCTGGCAGTCACCTTTTCTTCTCTAATTTGGGACTTTCAAATCCCCTGCTGGCTGGCCACCCACCTTTGCTCGTCCAACATCCATTACAACTGTGAACTATTCAATTTGAACCTCTCAACATGACTGGTCCAAAACCCCTAATCAAGATCGAGGGCGATTGCTCCACTATCCACGGCAATACCCTCTACGTCTATTCGCCAGAAGGCTTTGAATCAATACAGCTCAAAGAGGACGGAGATTGGAAGAGACTCCCCTCCCCAGATGACAAAGTTACCGGCCCTGCCTGCGTCCAAGACAAAGGTTATTTTTATCTGGTCGGCGGGACCGGCTCCCGCGACCCCCTCGACAACAGCGGCCTCCAACGATTCTCGTTCAGTACAGGGGAGTGGAAGACACTCACTGGGACATCATCGGAGATGAAAGACCGGACGGGACATGGGGCCGGATACATTCCCTCAACTTCAGAAATATTGGTTTACGCAGGAAACACGGATGGCAGTACACGGATCTCCCAATCGACGCTCTTCATTTCAACAACCGACACGACCTTTGACGTCCGGGCCGGGACCGATCAGGGCACGCCCGCATTGTATGAGCCCATAATTTTGCCTTGGAGCTCTTCCGAGGTCGCCATGATTGGAGGCTCTGCTACCAATACAGCTGTCTACATCTATGACTCCAAGAAGGGCTGGAGTATCTCAGAGGCGACTCTGCCCGCTGCGATCCAATCCACGTCTCGATGCGCGCTCGCCTCCGACTCCGGTGGTAATACCAAGGTTCTCGAGGAGTTTACAATGGGCGCTTCCCCAAACACGGTGACTAGCTATCTTCTCCGCTCAAAGGGAAAGATGCAGAACCCGGTTACAGCTATCGCACCGGCAGAAAAGAGGGGTCTCACCGATTCTTACAACGACACATTCGCCCCGACGGCATCCTGGTCTGATTACACGCTTGCCCAGGGAAATGGCTTGGTTGTTCTCGCCAGCGGCCAAAGTAATGACTCAGTGGCAATCTTCAACCAGACTTCCAACGCATGGGTCAACTCCACAGAGCTGTTCTTTGGAAAATCAGATCAACAGGTTCTCAAGCCATCCACCACATCATTCACATCATCTACTCCGACACCTACCACAACCACCTCCACATCGACCTCGACATCGGCCTCCTCTACACCCACTTCTTCGTCGCCAGTTGTGGGTGCTGTAGGTGGTGGCCTGAGTGATCATGGCAAAACGATTCTTGGCGCAACCCTTGGCAGCGTCCTAGGGTTTGGCTTGATCCTGCTCATCATTCTTTTCCTTCTGCGACGTGAGAAGAAGAAGAGACAGTTAGCTAAACCCGGAGGCGGCGGTGGTGGCGATAACAAAGGCCGCCTGAGCTTCCAGGATCAGGGCATAGAACCCCTGACCGAAGGCGCTTACCCCATGGCAAGATCTCCTGTCCCACTCGCTAGTGCTTCTGTCGATTCATTGGCTATCATGTCCGGCAATTACAGGGGAGAGAAATCCCTCAAGCCACCGGGCGCTACGGGCTATGGCTTGTCTCCTCAACCCAAGAGCAGTCCCCTCTCTACAATTCCCTCCAGCGGTGTCATGGGTGCATCAAGCGTATACACCGACGACACCAATCGGGCTGGCAACACCGGGCGTGAAAACCAGGCCGCTGACCGAATGACTGACGAAGGATGGGGAAAATACTTTGAGGACGGTGGTGCTACTAACCTCCAATCCGACCGCTCGACCATCAGCTCCGCATACACCAAGTCCGATTACCGCGGAAGCGGCTGGCCAATGAGTACCTTGACACCATTGAATTTCGGCTTCCTTGAGCAACCCCAGCCACTTGGCCGCGTTTTCAGCGGCAGTCCAACCACGGAACATGGTCCCTCTGACATGGGCAGTCGAAACCTGGTGATCCCAGAGAGCCAGTCAGCACGAATCTCCAGTGCAGATTCAATCAGTGTCGCCTCAGATGACGACCGCGATGATCCAAAATGGCAAGGTGCGGGCCAGAGCAGCTGGCTTGGACGGCCCACAAGCAGCAACTACACCACTAGTTTCTACCAAACGAGCGCACAAGATATGCCCTGGGAATCATCGAATCCCAGCCTCGCGGATAAGACAAGGCAGTCCAATGCACGAAGATCCAGCGTCATCATACCGCATGATATCGACGAACTTCCGGTGCACGGCCAGAAGAATAATACGAATTCAGATATGAGCTGGCTCAATCTCAAGGCTGATCGTTAACATACGTTCACCCAACACTATCACTTTCAGTCCATTTGGAGCCCAACTCTCCCATACTCTCCCTCACTTTCAACAAATACCTACCTCACCTCGCCAGGTCATTCCGCGACTCTCCTACCTCCTCATCCATTCCTTTAATGGCGTCTCCGTGGCTATTAGTGTCTTGAAAAGGCCTATTGCTTTGTGTTGCATTTGACGTGCATTTTTATCTGCATCCAGCATCTTCCTCGTTTTGTTTTTGTGTGTATGAGCGATTCCTTAGCGTTGTGCCACAATCCTTGAACCGGTTGCTCTTTGATTCCTTTTCATGGCTGTGCCTACACTGTGTCGATCTAGTTCTTGTATGGTGTTGTGTTATTCTGTACATATCCGAGTGTAAATCACTTGAAATCAAGCGCATGCTTCATGTCCTACGCTCAAAGGCTCTTTCATAATACTTATTACCATTATCGTCTGTAAACCATGCATCATAAGCATCAACTCGTCCCGTCCACATAAAAGGGTCGAGCGGCATGAATCCCTTCAATAAAGCTTCGCCAACAACGAATGTCTCTTCGAAACCTTCCGAAACTCATCAACCATAGGACTTAGCATCCTCCCACCCCCATCTTCAATCTCCATAGGCTCCAAATGCGTCGACTCCTTCTTCAAAAGCGGAATCTTTTCCTCAGTCTTACTCCGAATATAATAATGCTCGTCATCCTCCTCCATCCCAATAAACCACCGTTCCTTCAACTGCTTCCCCCAAGGCCCACACCCACACGCACCCTGTAGCTGCGTCGTCTGGGGACTATTAACAGCAAGCGCAAATAAATTCTGCGGCTCAGTGAAATCAGTCACTTGTCGACCTCGCGCTTCGACAATCATAAACCCGAGACAGACAGCGCTAGTCAAAAACGCAAATACAAGAATCACGTAGAAGACCCCTTGCCATTGCTCCGTTCCACCAGACGAGTAGCTAAAGGTTTGAATGGATGCGTTGAAATTCTGGTAAACAGGCTCAGGGAGAACACTCCCGTCAGTGTAATTCCAGAATGGAACGAATGGCGCTGTCTGGGAACTGAGGATAAGCGTGCTTCCAGCCATCACAGCCAATGCTTCGGCGATAGATGGTAGTTTCGGGTCTAGTTCGAATGCTGATTTGGTCTTGTCGTATCGAGGCATCATCTGCATTAACAGTCTGGCATTACTGGCGGCACCGTCTGTGATACCGGCGTTTAGACTGAGTGAATTCGCCCATTCGGAGGCGATATTCTTCCAGTTTGAGTCCCACATTCCTTCGGTGAAAGAGTCTTGGCGGCGGTCGTATTGGAGGATGTTGGAGGGGGTTTCGCAGTTTGTGCTGAGGAATGCGCCGCTTGAATCGGCGGAGTATTTTGTTGAACAGACGCCTGTTTGTTTTACGCGGAGTGAACACATCACGTATTCTGGTATTTCGGTGTTGGGATCTTTGGATGGTGGCGTTGCGCCGAGGAGGTAGATTGCGTTTGCGGGCCATGCACCAGTTGTGTTAAGGATTGTATTGTAGGGAAGAGGGTATTTTCCGAAAATAGGGGGCACTTGGCCGTATTTCGGGCCGAAATGGAAGAGGGAGTCGACATTTGTTCGGTTTAGCCAGGACGGTGGATGGGGGATGTCGTCTGGGGGTGAGAAGTTCCAGGCTGTCATGTTGAAGTTTTTAGAGCCTTCGGGCCAGGAGGAGTAGACTAGGGGACTTAGTTCTTTTCTTGTCATCCCAACGCAGAGGACGTTGACCGCTGGTGAAGGAACGGAGGCTTCGATGTTGTATTTTCCTTCGCCGGAGGTGTCTATCGGTTGTTTGAGGTTGTTTTTGGTGTTCATTGCTGCGGCGGGGATGCCGCCGTGTGGCATTGCCATTGTTATGTTGTTGATCATTCGGCCGTGTTTATTGGAGAGAGTGGACATGTCTTGGATGTCGATCCAGCTGCCTGTTACTGTGGTGTTGTCCCAGAGGGAGCCTGTTGGCTCTTGGCGCTTTTGGAGTTGGCTTGAGGTTTCGTTTTTACTGGCTACTAGCTGACCCCATTGGGCTATCCATTGTTGGTAGTTGTGATATGCGTGGCCGACGTGTACGATTTGGAGACAGGTATTGTTGCGATAATCGAGGTCCATGGCGATGGTGACGGGTGTCTCGCACTCTGATGCGATGTATGTGGGGTTTGCGAAAATGGAGGTTACCTTGCCTTGGAGGATTGTTGATTCAACTGGACTGAAAGAGAGTTTTGGATCAACTGTCGCTGATTAGTGTTTGGCACACTTGGACAGAAGAGAGATAACTTACCCAAAGCTTGCGCGGCGGTGGTGTATAGCATCGCGACGAATGTCGCAACTAACGCAACCGACCCGAGGAAAGTGAGCGCCGAATATCGCAACGCCTCCCAATGCACAATCATAGATCCAGGCTGCATAATCCAAGCTCTCATATTCATATCGGAGATACTGATTCCCCGTGAATCTCTCATCAAAGCCCTCCGACTAAGCACCTGTCCCAGAAACGCGACGCAAATCGTAACATATGCCAACTCGATTGTCTTCGCAAAGAACGCACTCAGCAAAGATGCCGTAGATGGAGCCAATGGCCCATTACTAGAAACAGTGTTCCATCGGGGCTTGCGCAGCGCAATGCCAAGATAGATACCCGAAAAGATGGTGGCATAGATAGCGAGAACCAAGACTGTCAACGGGACCCAGGAGAGCCGTTTCTGGAGAACCGTTGCTCGATTAGGGCAGCGCACGTGGGCGTGGGCGGCATGTGGAGAATGCGGAGTCTGGGGAGACTGTGGAATCTTGTAGGTATCGCGTGGTGTCGTAGTGGAGGCACTATCGGTTGAATCGCGCCTGTCTGCTGGAATCGCATCGCCTGTTGGGTTTGAGATCCCTAAACCGACATCGCGTAGGACTTCTTCGGACCAGGTGCTGTCTGAGGGGCTGTGGTAATGATAGTCCGAGTCAGTTAGGCGATTACTAAGTGGATTCCAAGAACGTTGGGGTTGGGTATCAAGTGAATCTTGGGATAGTAGCGAGTGTTGTGACTCCCGCGATGAAGCCATGTTGGAACATGTATGCAAAGAAAGGGAAAAGGGAAAAAAATAGCGCAATAGCCGTCTTAAGTTGCAAAGATGCTTAAAATAAAGAAAAAGGGAGGTGGGAGGTGATTTCAGCCCCAGGGCTGAGAGGGAAGTCTAGCCTCTTCTCTAGTATCATAGCCTACTTTAGCTGCTTGGCATCTCGGGTTTGTGCTTTTGTTTTGCAATTTAAGTAGACAAGAATGAAAATCGTTATTTTATTCACTTAGTGCTTATTTTACAGTCTCGATTGCTATTTGAAACGTTGCTCTTGGCCGCACTATAGCTATATCTGCTGTGTGACTCTATACCTGTCTGGACTCCATTTTCTCCTGTTCGATCGAACTAATTACAGGGTGAGGAGAGCGGGGGAAGAGTCCGGAACAGTGATAGTAAGCAGACCGTTCTTAATCCCTGTCTCTTCGTTCGAATGCCCCTGGACAGGCTTCCCCTTACTCGATGCATCATACGAAATCCTACCAAATGTAATCTTATCAAGCACGTCGCTGCCTGGGACAATCTGGCGCTCAATCTTGGCGCTCGTATGTTGTGCAGGCATGTGGAATTTCCCTCTGGGGACGATCTGAGGTAGTCTGGTTGAAAGCCCGTGGATTCGTCACAACCAGCTTCGACAGTCGGTCTCCGTTGCAGATTGCATATGCGGACTGTGTATCTCCGATAGAGGGATGCTGAAAATGCGTGTGTTCTTGGATTTTCCGATCGCACTGGCAACCATGAGTTGACCGTAAGACGGGGGTCTGGTGGTTGCAGGAATACCTTTGCTCTCGATTGGCTGCCATGAGGCGTACTGGTAGTTCGGTCCTTGGTGGAATTGAAGGCGCGTGATACCCTGTTCAAATGTCAGTAGCTTGACCTTATGGGGAAGATTGTTGGTGCGTACGTGTACTGCTGCCCAGAGGGAGAAGTTGACTAGCCACAGAGCGTCGCCAAATACCTTGGTATCTCCACTCACGCCCTGGTTTGCGATCGAATTTAGCTCGCCAAGGGTGTAAGGGAGGTCGAGGTATGCAAGGTTCTCAGAGCGCTGGATCTGCAGTGCGAGATTTTTCATAATGTTTGTGTGATTCCTCAAAGTCCCTGTAATTATTGGTATAACCAGGTTGGTGCGGAGTGAAGAGACATACGCTGGATATCAAGCTGCGCAGGGGGCAGAGGAGATGCGTTGACACCATATAACTGTCCCAAAGGTCAGCAAAGGAAAAGGAGAAGAGAACGACAGTGGGTGTCATACTTGTGGAAGCATAGCTCTTTGGTCAGATATGTTTATCGTGTCCAAGAGATTGTAGAATTCCTCGGCAGTCCAGGAAGTGCCGTAATGAAATCCAGCAAAACGAGGCTAGGCGCCATAACCCGGGGAGAGGTCCAGGACAGGCTTTCTGTACAGCAGACTTGACATTAGCTGACTTGGTATTCCACTCTTCAGCATAATTAAGCATAATCAAGGAGTGAATAGTTTGCAGCGCGATTCTTTCCAGAGGCGAAATTGAACTCGTTACCCAGCTCAAATAGATATAGCTGGGGACCGATAGAAGTACAAGTTTCCGCAGCCTCGAGTTCAAGCTGTTTATTCGAGTAGTTTGGTTCATGTTCAACCCATGAAGTTACTTGAGGTCTCTCAGGGTGTGATACAATTCAAAATAGGTCGGACCGTAATTGATTTTGGATCGGCTGATCGGTGGGGCTTTGATCGATCGGTTTGACTTTCTCCTCCTGGTCTGGGAAATAAGGTAGCATGGTCCCTATAGATCCCATGAGTCCTTGCGACCAAGAATCTGTCGAATGGTATAATATACTGCGAGGTTCCTCCAACTCTTACTTTAGGAGCGTGGACAATGTGGAAGGCTTATAGGATTAACCACCACAACCCCGGAATACACCCCATAATACCCCGTATTACCTCCGCAATAGCTACCTAGGTTCTGCGGGGAGCGATGGGATTATACATTTGAATGCGAGTCTTCTATTTATCTAGACACCGAGAGTAGGATAAATCAAATTATGGCTAAACGCCTCGGGAAGGGTTCTGAAATTGAATATATATACGCTGCGTAGCCAGGAGACTTTTAAGTTCAAATCCCGAAAACTTTCATATCGTGAGAATTGACTTTGCTAGTCAGTCTATTTTGGTGCAGAGCAGTTATAGGGGCTACATATGCATGGTCTTAATGTAATGAAAAAGACAGTGAAGGGGGAAAAGATCAATCTATGATAGTTCTATCGTTTTCCTTTGCTTTGTTCATATCCCCCATTCAACACTTGTAGCTTCCTTCGAAGTAGGCAATTATGCTCACCTTGTAGTACTCAAGTATGGAGGGAATTCCAGTGCGATGTCGATCAAGGCCATAAAAGGAGCACCATCCATTGCAGTCCCGCTGACACCTGTGGCGGCGCCATTCCTTGACTCACGACTTAACATCTCCGTCGCTTGGAACCACGAGGGGGAGGGCTATCTTTGTCCAGAAGAGTGTTGCTGAACATAAGATCGGGTTTGTTGAATCTGGAAATCATGTGGTCGCAGTGCGCGACAAAAGTATCATAGTCGAGATTCCCCGGACTTCTATGAAGAGTCAGATAGCCAATGGCACACCTGGCTTCTGGCAGCTCATTCCTCAATCTCTGTAGGAGATCCCAAAGCATATTGAACCAACTAGGAGCCTGATTGAGCTTGCGGATGATGTCAAATTGTGTTCGATATACGGCTATGTAGGTTACGGCCGATGGGTAGTTGGTTCGGTGGAGGGAGCACCATTGCGCCACTGGTTGGCGGCCTCAATGGCATTGTGATTGTTTCTCATGGTGTTGATGGCGTTGTAAAGCCAACCAGCGAGCAGATCCTGAATATCCCTTTCCATGTTCGAACAAAACCATCCATAAACAAGAGCCGACCAACAAGGCCAGTTTTCGTCGGATGGTTTTGGGTGGATGATCGAAATGTCAAGCAGAAAATGAAGCAAGCTTGGGTGTAGAGCCTTGCGTGCCATACGACACCACTCGCTAGGGTCCATGCCCATGGTAAGCATTGGGAGCTCAGGCAGCATGTTGAGGTTAACTTCGTCTGGTGTCCAGGCTCCCTGGCTGCCAGTGTGATTGTTAGAAGGAATTGTTGGCAAAGATGTAGATGTAGAAAAAGGAGAGAGCGAGAGAAGAGCTAAGACGGATGTGAGGATCCCAGCGATGTCAATACATAGACCAGGTGATGATTCTAAACCCTGCTTGAAACACAAACATACTTTTTCTTATATATTGAATACTTCTTCCAATCCATATAGATGCTATAGCCCTAAGTTGAGTATCCGCCGATAAGACCTAAATAGCTGCCAAGAAACATAACCTTGTTCCATAACTCAGCTGGTTAGAGTGTGGTCTCGAGAATGCCTCGTGGCAAATTATATCTGTTTGACAACGTTAAACAAGAAAGACTGTCCACGAGGAAGCCAAGTCAAGATAAGCAGGAATCCAAACACCTCGAGCTCTGGCACAGCAGAAGTTGTCCCTGTTAGTATGCACAGGTCTAGCGGAATGCATCTCATCCACGATGTTGATGTTGGCAATATATTATGACTCAGGGAGCCTTGGAAGCCTTGTTATTCCTATTTCGCTGAAAAGGCCATTCGGTGTAGCCTTTACATGCACGACTACATCCTGCCGCATGTTCCGATGACCCGTTTTGTCCTTAACCCCCAGGTAGTGTAACATCACACACAGTCCCTGTCTCTTGACAAACCCCGCATTGTGTGGGCTGTATATCGCAGCGCAGCTTTCGGCATGGCCACTCGTCACACACAGGACCCGGGTGCTGGTGCCCATGTGTCGCACCTGGCAGCATCATTTTCATTTCGAGGTTGGATGACATGTGTACTGGTCAGCCCTGGAGAGAATGGTGGACCTGCTTCCCTTGCGGGCAAAATGGCCAGGGAAGGTTTGGAGAGGGGAATAAGGACCGGGCGTAGAAATTTGTTCAAGAGTCTGGCAAGATGGATAAAATGAATGTCAGCATGGGATCAGTAACATATTTCCAAGACGTATTTGAGGACCATATCTAGTACTGGGCGTTGAAAAGATCACTCCATTATATGGATTTTGCTTGTTAGCTAGTCTATCAGGATCATAGAAGGGGAAGTGGGCGTAACGAGAGAGTCGATGAATAGTCGCGGGAAATGATATTTCTCAGACTAAGCACCGAGACTATTAACTTCTAACCACTGAGATCTCTTATATTGTTAGTATTTCAAAGACAACGTCAGTCCCTGATGAAACCTGAGGGTTTTGGAAAGACTTCCGGTGACTGCATCGATAAGGACACACTGACCATAGTGCTGCCATTCACTTAGCTGCAATGATTCAACAATCCACCATAGACGTTATCAGTGAGGTGCATAATCATATACGAAACACCTCGATAACTAAAGAAGTAACACTACGAGTTCGTCCACGTATCCATCCCTCTCCGCTCCGGGGATTCCCTAAAAACTCCCCGGAACTCCCAACATACCACCATCTCGAGGTAGCCGCCTTAGCATCGGACTCCCCACCCAAATATGCAGGGGCTAACCTATCAGTGTTCGAAGTAATTTCCCTTTTGCTTGGCATCTTCGTACGCACCCAACGCCATGGAGCATGGATGGCCCAACGTGACGTTTCTGCTTACGCAGCCTCATGCATACTAGATACGCTAATATGAGTATAGGCTTAAGGCTTGTTTAGAAGTTCATGGGCGGGAAAAATTAATAAAAATAAAGGCTAATTCGTCTTAGTATCAAAACCAGATCTGTACTGCTGTACTGAGTCATGTTCTTTACTCCGTATGCATTGACCATCTGCAAGGAGCTGCGCCTTGTGTCTAAGCCACAGCTTACTATGGAGTACCTAGTGAACTTGGGTAAAGTATGTTGTGCGTCGGACACTCTCAGCCATTTTCTTACGCCTCCACAACCATATCCGGCCGTACCCTTATCAGTGGCGCATACTAGAGGTTACTATGGATGTCCGCGGGTCTCTTCCACGTGGCCAGATATAGGTTTATTTCGGGAAGGTTGAACTATTGGGTTTCCTATTTACTAGTACAAACGTTAGATACAAACAATACGATGGGACTCGCAGGGCAAAGTGGGACATAAATTTTGATAAACTTAGATAAATGGAGAAGAGGGGATTTGTTCTAAATTACGCGAGTGGTGATTTCCTAGTTCGATCTGATATTTAATTCCCAATCTCGAAAATATGTTTGTAATAAACAGGGTCTTGGCTTTCCAAGGGCGAGAAAAGCCTTTTTAGCGAGAGTCAACGCATTCTTGGAAACTAGTACTTTGACTGTAGCCTAAACCTGCAATACCTGGGGGTTTGTACACAGACGCTCAGGCCATAAGGGACCTCCAGGGTTGCCGATCCAATTTGGAGGATTGTAGCCAATTCTTTCGTATAGCATGGATAAACGGTTAGCCCGTATATAATAACCCGGGCCATTTTATTCCGCTTTGTAAGCAGATGAGGTCCAAGGAATGGCATTAAGCAATTACAGGATAATCCTATATGAATGACCCAGCACAGATCCATAATTATCCAGGGAAGGTAGTCGCTCCGAATACTAGAAATAGATCAGATCAATAGCGCGAAAGCATCCACAAGTGAGGGTTAGTGTGTAGCGAATCTCCACGCTTGGAAGATGACCGGGACGCTATCTGCCGGATCGTCTCTATGGAGTTAAGCATAAATGCCGATTTATGAGCATTGACTTGTATTTTACGTGTATATTCTGGAAACCAGGCAGCAGTTTTATGCAGTGGATGAGTGGCAAATGAATTTTTGATTCGAGGAAGTGGAGATTAAAATCTTTTTGGTCGGACATTTTATATCCGATTGTCCGACAGGTGCCGGGGGAGATTTGCAGTCTCCGTACAAAGCTAAGTTCAGTTGAAATTTACTCTATACTTTTGACTCTGTACATACGGAATTAAAACACCTATATAAAGGCCGCGTAGGCAAAAAAGTGGCGGGTGCAGTAGTAAATTGGGGTATGTCACTAAGCGGGAACGGTGGCCTCGGGATTAGAGCGAAGCTATGTTACTGGTCCAGGGCCAGTCTCATCGTAGTAAGCGGGCCACGAGTCCCTGCGTCCGAGTAAAAATAAGAGGTAAAAAGCCAAAAAACAGGGTCTTTCCCAGGAACGTAAAATAAAGCGATGGGTACAGGGCTCTGACGAATCAAGCTTGTGGCGTAAGCTGGGAGACGAGTAAGAGAATTCGAACCCCAAATTTTAGCTGAGACAAGCCCAGAAGTATGTATGCTAGACAGGACTAGACGGTCCGAACTATGTAGGGAGTCGCATGGGCTATACGTAGTCTGCATACGTATGCCCCGTTCAAGATCGAGTATGGGCAAATCAACGCTCGGCTGGAAATGCCCCAACACGGTCCGCGTCCTCAGTCTACGAACCGCGTGTTTCTCAGAGTTCCTATAGATCGGCAGATAGAAGCTTGGCTTGATCTGCGGTGCCATGTGTTTGATATTTGCGGGAGAAACCGAGGGAAGGAAAGAGAAGTACTATGGTATGTAATACTGGATATAGAGTACACTGTTCACAGTGTAACCTAGGCCGGTTTCTGCTAAATATATCACATATATCATAAAGAATACATCTGCTCTCATTATATGGCTTATGTGTCCTGCAACGTAAAGCCCTGGAGGGAAAGAGAACCCTAGTCCCCGCGAATATTCTCGGAGCGGGGCGGATGTTGAACGCGAATACGAATATATGCACGAGCCAGTCCCTTTCACCCCCCTAAATGTTTTAAAATATTGACGTAGACGCCGACGAGGCAGATTAGGATTTACTGTAGACGTGGATGCAAATATTTTGTAAACTACTACGTACACAATATCTTGTACGGTATATGTACTTTTAGGGGAAAATCCTAGAGGATCGGGGGGGGGGGGGGGGAAGACATCTCGGGGTAAAATACTCTTTCTAGAAAAGAAAGGATGACAAGGGCACCACGTTGTAGCCCTGAAGCGGTAATATATTCGTTAGAGGGTTAGAGCGTTAGAGTTCCCAGGGCTAGACCTTTAGTGGCTTATTTCCCCCCTAGGGCGAGATCGCCCTACAGTAATCAAAGGAAATACAACACTGTAATTTGTAAGAAACTAAGAAAGTAATCTAAGAAACTATCTCTTGAAGCCAGTACCCGCTCTTGAATCCTCGGAGGTGAGTTCCCAAACAGGTCAAGGTACTAACATCATCACTTACGTATGTCGGATTTAGCCCTGTAGAACAGCCTAAGCTGGGATATTACATGAGTAGGGGGTAATGTGGACAGGGCTAAAAGCTTGTCCATTCCAGATTATCTCAGATTCAACTCCTCAAAATAAAATACAACATAAACCTCAGGGTCCAATCCATGATTGTCCGTAGTTCTGCCGAATGGTGGATCATTTCCTGTCGCTTGGCTCAGCCGAAGCCCTAGTCCGGATGACAGCCAAGTCGGAGTTAACACTTTTAACACTTCCAACTGCAACATATAATACATTTTAAAGTAAAAAAAAAAGTTAGATTGAATCAGAAGTCATATAATCAAAAAAAGAAAGAAGTTACAGAAGTTGCAGAAGTCACAGACCTCTACGGAGTCGCGGGCGGGCCGGAAGAAACGGAGAAGAAAACGGGTCTGCACAGGTGGATTAGGGGTCTTGGTATTGTATTCGTGTCTTATATTTCTTTTTATTTCGTTTTTAAATTCTCCAAATAGCGTGCTCCGTATGGAAGTGTAGGAACCTGGAGACCCTGGAGCTTGGCTTCTTTTGCTCATTTAGTATAATTAGTTACCAATAGCCATACCCTGGCTCATCAATTTCCCCCCCCCCCCTTCTCTACTTCTTGAACTGTATTCCTATTTGAATTCTTACGTCGGATTTATCAACCTCGCTCCGATTGTCCCTCATCTTATCTCGTATCGGGGATCTCATTTCCACTTACCTCTATCACGGGCACGCGCAGAGCGCATTTCATTTCTATTCCCAGACGGCCTAACACTTCTCTGGAAGAACT